AAACCATCTTTTAAAAGTTTCCTCCTCTTGTATGTATATAAATCTGTGTCCAAATTTCATGGCAAATGTGATTTTGTTCTCTTACAATCACAAGAAACAATAGTTGACTAGTCAAGTTGGCCAAAGAAAGGAAAAACTGGAAAATTATGAAAATGTTTTGAAAAAAGTTTTACTTGAGAATATAAATGTTATAAATATATATTTAAAATTCATAATGTTCGGTGTGTTTTTGTCTTTCATAAGAAAGCCCCATTAGCCTATCTTACCTCTTCAAGCCTGCCCACTCAAAAGAAAGGAGAATGATGCTCAGAAAGCCTCAAACATCTACAAATGCCTAGCATGGTAGACTCCAAGAAACTCAAATAAATATCTAATGATCAAAAGGCATAAAAATAATATGGCATTCTCCTACAGAAGCTTATATAAAAACAACCCTAACAACTTATATGTCAAAAATTCAAAGAAACAACATTAAAATCCTTTCCCTAATTTGTTTTCATATAATGCAGTCACTTGTGCACACCATGTCCCTAGTGCTTTGCTAATTTTTCCTAGAAGTATTCCTTGCTTTTTCTTCCCATCTAAAATAAAACCTACCAGTCACAACTACCAAGTACATTGAGGTTCAGGTCTACCAAAACACTGATCTACCCCAAAGAGTCTCAGCTTTTTTTAAAAAACACTTTTGTACAGCTTAGAAAGAAAGTCTGACTAAAAGCTACAGTTCCATTTCTCAGAGCAAATTTATTTTCAGAATAATCCCACAGATAAAGGGGATTAAAAGGCAATATTCAAAACCTGAGTTGTAATAAGAGGTCTATGCACTTAAGGTTCATTTTGGTGTAATAATTTCTCCTCTGAACATAATATCATTACACACTCTTGTATTGAAAGTATTACCAGATTATATAAAGGACACCCAAATACACTGCTTAAGCATTCAAATTGGGTTTTTATTTTGGTTTGGCTATTTTTTCAACCACATCATTCTATTGATTAAATATTACAACATTCTGTGTGCCAGGAATATGCTCCAGATACCCGACACAAGTATTTGAGTATCAGAATCATTACGAAGCCACACAACCCAGGTGGTGGAACCCTAGCACTTCATCTGAATGAAGTTCAGGATATGAAGGTTCATCCAAGACTATGGACAAAGGTTCTCTGCTGTTGCAAATTATACTGGTCCCTAAATATTAAAATTTCAAAAATCATCATCATTTTTGTTAAAAAAGCAAGGTCAAGAACCGTCAGATGTATGGGTAAACCCTCTCATTAGATAATTTAACAGTTCTCGGGCCTCAGCTGAAATCTGGAGTACTGCCACTGTTTTCCATTGGCAAGACTGTTGAAAAGTACCATTTCTTCTTATCTTTTCATGACACATTCACCAAAGAAATTCCTGACTTAGCCTAAATTGTGCTCTCCCAAAGAACCCACTCTCCACAACTGAAGGCTTTCTAATAGTATTGCATATCTAATTTTGTTTTATAGAAATATTTCAGCTGTAAACACTCCATGTCAATATTTGCACATGACCAAAAATAAAATATTTCTGGGATAGGACACAAAATAATGAGAATTTTAAGAGAGATTGGTTACTCTGGGGAGTAACTATAAAAACAAAGCCTAACATACCATGAATGTGCTTACAACTGCCTAATATCTTTTTCAAGATAAATAAATAATGTATGAATAATAAACCAGTAATATCTGATTAGAACTGGTAGCAAATAATAATATAGTTGGTTAGCTTCACTGTCCCAATTAAATTCAAAAGCAGCAGTTAAAATATGTATGTAGCAATAAAAGTTCTCTCTTCTAATGCACACATTTCCATCTAAACTTAGAGCCAATAAAAAAAATTCCACATTTGGATACACTATGAAAATAACTTGTAGTAATCATATATAACATTTATTGTAATGTGGTAGGCACTATTCTGTTTTACATGTATTCTTCATCCTCAGAACCACCTATGAGGTAATATCCCCCTTTTATAGGTGAGATAACTAGGACATAGAATATTTAAGAAACTTGAACAAGGTCACACAGGAAATAACTTGTGAATCCAAAAATTTCACCAACTAATCTAGCTCCAGATCATTACACTAAGCTGCCAATAAAGTAATGCAGTGAATGTGCTTTGCAAACGGTAAAATGTGCAAATATAAGGTATACTGATCAAGGGTACATGCTTTGTACTCATAGACCAGGTGTCAAGTCTCAGTTCTGTAATTTACTAGCTATGTGAACTTGAATAAATCACTAAACTTCTCTAAGCTTCATTTTTCTGTTCTATAAAATGGGGATAATGAAGTAACAGTTCTTACTTCAAAGGGTTGTTGGTGGACCAGGGACACTATGCATGTTAAAGATTAGCAGAGTGCTTGGCATTCAATAAGCGTTCCATGAATGTTTATTATTAGCAGCTAATATTAAGAATTCCCTTTATTATCATAAACTCTAATTTTAGTACAGGTGGCATTTTTCTTAAATAAGTGAAATCTACCAATATTGAGATAATAAGTTTATAAAATTAAGACCCAAAGTCTCAAAGTATATGACAGCAAGGTTTTGAGATGGAAAAAGCTACTTACTTTAATGTCATTATCAAACATTTATTTTAAGTGCCTGGATATACATTAAAATGTGCTAGGCACTAAAAGAGTTATCAAGACATAGTCCCTGACTTCAAAAATACACAATCGAGCAAATTCTGCTGAGTGAACACAAACAGCAAAACCACCAACTGTGGGTGTATTCCCAACCCGATGCATCTATGTTCCCTTCTGTTTGTGCTGTGGGAGTGGTGAATACATGCAGAGGAAGCAGCTTAAAAATAAATAATAAACCCGACAAACAGAATGTAAAGCATTAAGATTCAGGAAGAAACGAGCTGACTTTCTGCCCTCTTACCTTCTCAAAAAAAGTTTTAGCTATCTTGGTACTAATGATTTCTGTTAATTAACCGGAAGAGAAAATAAGAAAGAGCTGGAAGCTAAGAATAGAAATCAGAGGAAAAGGATGCAGAAACAAATTATGAGAGTGAGAAATAAACTTGGAAAATTAGAAAAGCCAAAATAATTGTAGATGAGTTTAAGTGAAACATGTTTTATACTCCATTCTATCATGTGCCTAATAACTTAGAAACCAAATAACTAACAGCACTTCTAAAGAATGCTGATCCTTACGCCTTTTCAATCCTGAGGTTTCCATTAGCTCTTACGGTCAGAGGGAAAGAATAGCATAGAGTACAGAAGGATTTTGTCTAACAGCACAGCCAACATCATGCCACACATATCTTAGAGCTCAGCTTCAGATCAACTATGAGAACCATGGCTAAATCATAATCCTGGTAATCCATAGATTCCATTAGAAGAGTAACTTCTTAAACTCCTAAGGATCTAGAATACTTCCACAGGCCACTGCAGGAAACCTGGAAACCTCATTTATACAGCATTTCTAGCTCATCTTCAGTGGTCATGCTATTTGAAGAGATCTTTTGCAACTTCACAACAGGAAATGATATGCACTTGTGCCTCTCCATCTACATACCTACTTAGGAAACTCTTCTTTCTATACCCAGAAACTCAAGCTTTAGCAAAGCCACAAAACTCCCTGCTACTGCATTAAAGCAAACTGACTAGAACAGCCTATTAACCATAAAGCAATAAAACAAACACGCATTACTAAAAAATGTGAAGGTACTTTTACACACTATAAGCAATGTGTCAACTGAAAACTTAGCTCATATATATAAAACTAGGTTAAAAACTAAGGATGGGTAATTCACACATTCTTTTATATATATATATATGTGTGTGTGTGTGTGTATATATATATATGTGTATATATATACACACACATATATACACATATATATACACACACATATATATATATATATTTTCTCAGAGAAGAAAATTTTCTTTTTTAAAGTAGGGAGTAAAGAAGGGAAAAAAGAGACATGAAGCAATAAAAAAAAAAAAATGGTCACTGTGCACTCAAGGTACATCTGCATGTTGTAATGACTACTGGCCCAGTGTCAGCCATACCTCATCCGGCTCTCACTTACACTATCCAAACTTAGGAAATTGAAGGGCAAGCCATACCTTTTGTTTCTCCTCTTCCACCACACTTAGGAATGGAAGGTATCTTCAGGAAGGATGAGTTGAATTCTATAGGAAAACTCTTAACTGATCAAATAGCAGCAAAGGTGGATATAATCTCTAGCCAGAGATAGGTCTTAATATAAGCAGTTTCCGACAGTCCTTTACTTGCAACTACTCCTCCCGACAATAACAAAAAGTGCTATAAATATTGGTTTATATAGCCTACACGTAGAAAAGTTTCTGGCACAAATTTCCTAGGCCTCTTAAGAGCCTCAAGCCTAAACCTCTGAGATGAGGAAGCTCAAGAATCAAAATTAAAACAAAAAGAATGAAGACCAGAAAGGAATAGAAAGAATAAAGAATTTCCAATCACTTCTTACTTGTTCATTCTACCTTTCTAAACTGGTCCCAGTTTAGCCTCTAACTTCTCTGTCTACATGATCTATTAATTTGGCTATTATGATAAAATATTCCTAATCTTTCTAGGCCTTTCTAATTTAGACCAATCCTGAGATAGTGCTATTTTTCTCTCAATGACTGATATTTTTGACAGTCCTTGAACCCTCAATTCCTCCTTGAATTCTTCTCTGTGGCCCTAGAGTTATGATGGAGAAGACATGTGCACACATGTGAATAAAGTAAGGAAATTCTAGTAATTGGGCTCCCCTCCACCAACATCAGGCTATTTTTCTTTCTTCTCTAAAGTATTTAACAAGTAAAGCAGAGAGGAAAAGGCCGACATACAGATGAGAGGCTGTAGGAAGGGCTAGCTCAAGCTTTTTGGGAATCCTTGTATCTTTTCACTGGTTATAGGTACTTAAGTCTGGAAAGTATCTTTGGAATATGTCTTGTGTGTAGGAATGCAGAAAAGATAACACCTTGCAAAAGTCAAACATACAGGTTTAATAATGTGCAACTAATGAAGATGGTTTATAAATGAAATACCACCTACACATTTAGTTCCCTAAATATATTACACTATTATAATCATTAAAGTTAGAACTGTAAGTACAAGTTTTCCATCTGTGGAAAAGTAAATCTGTTTTTAAATTAAAGAGAAATTATCACTCTAATTCTTAAAAATAAAACTATCAGGATATAATTCAAGTGTAGCTGCTCAGTCACTGAATAAATTTAAATTTGATAATAAAACATTTAAGTTTCAACCAATGCACCTTTGTTCAGCACATTTAGCTGAAATAACTCAGTCTGGTTTATTTCCATCACATATAGTACATTTTTCCAACAAGAGCATGTACATTCAATATAGAACATTTCCAGCAACAATTACAGTCTTTCTAGTTTCCTTTCACAGTATATTTTAGTGCAAAGCACTGGGAAGGTAAATGTTTTTCTAGCTATAAGAGCATTTTATTATGACCTTATGGATCTTCAACATTTTAAAATTTTGTACAAAAAGTATATAGATGGACAGGGTCCCTCCTAAGTACAGGTATGAACCTATGTAAAAACATGGTATATTCTCTGCTGTACCTTTATAATTATAATTTGACAAAAATTACTAAAAAATAAAATATTCCCTAAAAAGTACAAAATATTGATACACAAAAACCTGTCCAAAATTTCATATAGATGTACTTCTGTTTTTCCTAAAATCTTGATTATAAAAAATGGATGAGAATTCATTATTTTCCAAATTTTATAGTAGGAATCAAATATTATCTAAAGTGGTCATTTAAGATTTTACTTGGGAGAAAAGAAATCAGGATTTACACCCCCATCTTCCTTTTTTAGCAATATCTAAAGAAATAAACTAGTATCATAACAAGTGGTTGTGCATGGATTGTCTGTATCCATAAAATATCAGTAAGCTATTTACTACCTTCATATTAACATTAGTAAATGTGTGGTCTTTAAAAAAAATAGAAACTGAAAAATTAAGTTGCATCTATCATTAAAGTGCTTTGTATAAAATTTAAAGAAAAAGAGGGGAATGTTTAATTTTCATAAAGACCTCATATGTTTACAAATGAAAACTGTAATGATCCATGGATGAAAATGAACTGGAACTTTCCTATAGTATATATTTTAGAATAAAACTTTCAAACAAAAATAAGTGCTGGAGAACAAGTTAGAAATAAATGGATGTAAAAAGAATTACAATTATTTAGTAGGCTAAATATGTATAATGCATTGACACTAATCTGTCTTTTAGTCCTAACGCACACTCACTAGGAAATCATCTTTCTGTACAATTCAGATGAAAATTTTTCCAAATAAAGTGGAACTAAACCAAAATCACTAAGATACAAAGTCTTTGTCAATTAAAAATCACCAGTGGTGATATTTTCTTCAGGTTGTTGATCGCTTTAATCAACAAGTTATTTGGAAAAGAAAATTTGCAACTTTTTTTGTAGAATCTGTAGACCAAATGCACAAGGTCAAGGGTGGTTAGCTGATGGACTGTGATGACATTATGTAATGTCACAGCTACATCAAAGTGCTGGAAAAGGCAGTGCCTTTGAAACGAGTGGTTGTTAGATGGTTATTATTTTAGTCAGAAAACAGCAGTTACAGTCGAATATTTATGAAAATGTTTTTCTTTTTTTTTTCCTCATAGTACCATTTGAAGACGTTTAGTGGTTCTAACACCAATTTAAAGTCTTTCCACAAAAATGAACTCCAAACCTTTTCGTACATCACTTGAAGTTATCTGAGGAGAAATGGGAATAAATGAACACTTTTGAGTTTACCAATAAAATCTTGTTTTTAAAATTATACAATAGTAAATGACTTCTAAAGAATGGTTTCATCTCAAGTTTTCCACAAATAAAAAAATGTGTGATAATCAAACCACAACATTTAACCTACTCAGCACTCAAACTATACTGCTTTAGAACCTGAATCCAAAACTAATTTAATACTAATATATTAAATTAAATGCCTTAACACAAGGGACACAGGTACTGCAGGTAAACTTTAAAAATATGTAGAGACTTGCAAAAACAAGTATAGGGAGTCTACTCCTTATTTTAAATTGCATTTTACACATCAACATTTGTTCCAAACCTTCTTAAAAAGTAGTATTTTTTCTTTCTTCCCAATAGGGATTTTACTCTTTTTGCAACACACAACCACACAAAAAAACAAAAACAAAAAAACCCAAAAATCCCTATTTAATAATATTAACTATGCTGAAATGATCACCAAAAAGTTTATCTAAACAAAAAGGGAAAAATAAGAAATCTGGGACCTAAGTAATCACTTTTTCCATAGATCAAAACTAAAAACAGTAACTGACACATACTCCCAAAGAGAAGGGAAAAAAAAATTCCAAACTTTTATCAAGTTTTCCCCTTTGCCTCAAAGCACTATGTTAAACGTAAATAATAAATGCTAATAGTTCTAAATTCAATTGGGTTTTTTTTTTCTGAGTGCAGCACTTTATTTAGCCGTCACAGATTAATTTTTACAATAATTACAGTGCCTCAAAAGACTTTTTTCCTATAATTATCGCCATCGCAAATTCATTCTAATATATTTAACTTTCCTACAATGCATTAATTAGTAGACTAAGTCACTGAATCAAATTAAACCTGTGCAAAGTTAGTTAAACAGAAGTCTTCTATTGTAAACATAAGCCAATATAAATGTGTATTTTACAACATTGAGAGGAAAGCACTGACCCTGTGTCATCTACCTATAACTATATTGCATTGTCCTGCGGAAGATCTGAAGTTAACTTTTGTTCCCAAGCCACTGGAATAAAGAAAGGTCACTGAAGAGGTAAATGCAATATGCACATTACTCTTGCAGTTCCCACTGCCATAAGATATATGGAAGCAAACATGTGTTAAAATGGAACCAGCTATAAATTATGGTCAAATGATTTTTTTTTAGTTCGATGGGGGGAAAAAAGCAAAACTCTGTAACTGTTCCTCACCAGACAAGAGCCTTAGATCTTGTACTTCGGCCTTTGGTTTTGTTTCCTTCAGGTGAATTGGAAGCATTTGCCTTATGAGTTTTCTTATGATGTTCAAGATAAGTCTTTTTAGCAAATGCCTTTCCACATTTATTGCATCTGTGAAGAGAAAAGTTTTTTGTGACTTTTACTTCAATACCAACGTCAGCAACTTCATACTTTTTACTAGGAGAGTTAGAAGTGCCATCATGTTTTGAATCGCTATGTTTTGTTTCATCCCTCGAAGGGCCTCTTTTTGCCACTTTATTTAGAACAAAATCAATGGGTTTTTTTATAGCTCTGATCTCCAAACTGGCTGTTATTTTCCCAAGATAGCGGGATGACTTTTTATGAACCACAGTTATATGCCGTATCACATCCCGCTTCCGACGAGTTTCGTAAGTGCAAAGAGGACACTTGTAGAATTTAACATAAATGTTATTCCCATCTGTGTGCAACTCAATGTGTTTAGTCAAGTTCTGTTTGGAAGTAAACTGACGTTTACAAAGTTTACAGTAAAGTTGCTTAAAGTCAAAGCCAGCTGAAAGTTTTGGTTTCCTGGTTTTTTGCTGGCCACCTGCAGCAGACGGACTAGTTGATTTAGGGCTTTCAGAGTCTTGTTTAACTTTATTTTTCTGTGCTGCCGGTGTGTTCTTTTTTTCATTTGAATGATTTGTTCCCTTTAATTCATTCTGTGGAGAATGGGTAATGGAAGGGGGTGAAGATTCTACAGAATCTGCTGGTTCAACTTTAACTTTTATTTCTGAACTGTTGGCAGTATTATTAGGGCCTTTCTCTCTTTTAGAGTTTGTTCCAGAAAGAGTTATCTTGTGGACAATTTGCATATGTCTTTTAAGCATTATTTGTGAACTATATTTCCTCTTGCAAAGGAGGCATTTGCATGCAGTTAAATTGTATTCAGCCTTTGAAGACGACTTTTGTTTTCGAGTCTTAAAAGATTTTTTAGGAGAAACAGAATCCAGGAACAAAGGTTGCCCAGGCTTTGTTGCTATATCAGGAGTAATTGAATCCCTCCTCAGTCCTCTATGAACTTCATCAAAATGCCTCCTTACATTCGCTTTTGTAGCAAATGATTTACAACATACTGGGCAACTTCTACTTAATGGAACTAGAACATTCTTACTGCGTCCTTTAGAGGATTGGTTTGGATTCTTTCGTGTTTCAATGTACTTTTTTAGTTCTTCCATCTTTTTCTTATGTACTTTTCGAATATGACGACGAACACCTCGTCTGGAATTGAATTCTTTTCTACAAAGACAACATATCAACTGGTGACCAAAATCAGAGTTGTCAGAAGTTTCCAAGTCAGCCTGCGATTCCTGAGGTTGTTCGTCAGATGTAGGTGCAACTTCATCTGCAATAATCTCAACAGGAGGGGGCTCTACAGTTTCCACCTCTGTATCTGTAACTGGTACTGTTTTAGACTGTTCAGTGCTAGTTTCCTGCATTTGAACTTCGGTTTGTTCAGGAGTACTGCTTGACTCTGTGACTTCAGTAGGATTATCAGTCCTTGAAATATATTGAAACACTGCATTTTGATTAGTTTCTATGGGTTCTAGCTTAATAATGTATTCTCGCTTGTCCACACTTGGATATATGGCTTCTAGGAGATCGCTTATGGCTTGGCTTTGTTTGTCGTTTACATCAGGAAGGTCTGTTAAGGAAAAACACAACATTTTAATCTGAAATAATTGGCCTGCTCTAGCCCCTTAATATTTTTTAATGTATTATGAACACCTATCTTAAAATGTATGTTTCTAGTTAATGTTTATTTTTATAACAGCATTAACTCTTTTCAGTATTTTATGAAGATAAAAACCAGTATTAAACTAAAATTTGCTTCATTTTAAAACCTCATCATGGTACACAAATGTTATGGGATATATGCAACTGAAGAGATACTTCTACTTCTAAGTGCCATTAATATAAAATATATAAGCACATGCATGGATGTCCAAATGATAAAATATTTCATATTTTTAGTCTAAAATTTTTAGACTACCAAAGGCAAATCAAAGTTCTCATAACCCAAAGATGGAGAAAACATCATGAAAAATGGTACTATATATAAATATAATTTTTTTTTAGAAAACGATAGCATTCCTATTAACCAAATGCATAATAAATCACCTAGTCTAACTGTATGGAGACATATTAATAGACATGAAGAAGAAAATCTGTATGAAAATATATAAACGTGAATGACTTGACATATAAGTATTTGCTAGACTCAGTCTTACTACCTGTCTCCTTAACATGACATAATTCTATTAAAATAAATGATTAAAAACTATAGATTTATGCTAAAAATAGAGCAGTTTTATTTACTTGTGCAGTTAATTATATCCTCTATAGGCAACTAAATATTCCCATTGTAACACAGTTGTCTAACATTGGTTATGTCTCCATGTATAACTAAATTCTAACTACAAATATAGCATCAAATCTGTTACCTATTTAGACATCAAGAAATAATTCATTATAGCTCATCTACTCATCTTTTTTAAAATGGATAAAGTAGTGTCTATAAAATAACATTTCACAAAAGTATTTGTAGAATGACTATTGCCAAGAGTACACAATAATCCGGCAAATCCATTTATCTATTTCCCTCTATAAGTCAACTTCATACTAAAAAATAACAAAGAATACCAGAAAATTCACATTTTCTTTAATTAAACAGTTAGATTTAATAAAATGCCTTTAATTTTATAGAATGCCTTTTCATCTATATCTCAATGATAAAAAGTATAGTAGATCTAACAGCAGCAGAAAACTGCCAAACACATAGGAAATTTTCGTTTCATCTGTCCTATAACATGCTTTAAATCAGCTTCACGCTAACAATTAATTAAAGCAGTACTTATATTTGAAGTTTGCACTTCATTACAATACCAAAAAGGTTAAGTTAAAAAATGTACAAAATCCATAATGCAACTATAGTATGAAACTGGCAAAATAAGTTCTATATTTTTTAAGCCCACAAAGAGTTAAATCCCTGAACAAGAAATAATGAAAGTAAGCTATCATTAAAATATTTTAGGGAGTTTACAATAGTTCGTTAAAGCAAGAAAATAACACCATTATGTATAATGCTAACTTAAACATATAGGGGCAATACACTTAATTCAACAAACATCTGGTTCCACAAAGGCTAATTTATTAGCCTACTATCTACCCTCCTCTATTTCAGATCTTAAGTTAGCACATAATACAATCTAATTTCTGATAAAATGACTGATATAAATTTCACTGAGAAGGAAACTGATCAAACTACTTCAGATCTCAAGTTAGCTCATAACACATTCTAATTTCTGATAAAATGACTGATCTAAATAAATTTCACTAAGAACAAAACTGAACTTCAAATGAAGACCCAGAAACATCAGAAAGATTAATAAATATTTTTAATGTTCTTCATCATTCCCAAGAAATCAATTCATTTACTCATTCTTTGCTCTATTCCCAACAATCTCATTTACTTAAAGGAATCTAAGTAAATAATCAATCATATCTGGTAACAAGCTATTAAAGAAGAGGAAAAATATCAATACCCCCTCAAGCATTAATATTTTAACTTACAATAATCATGAATGTAAACTATATGATCCATATTAACATTCGAAAACTATATTCAATATTTTAATACAAATAAATATACTCACAAATCTGACCTCATATATCTTTAGGAAAATCCAAGTGAAAACCACAAATAAGTACCTACTTAAGGAACAGTATAACATTGAGTCAAATATTTAATTTTATTCTCTATCATTAAATTATCCATAACTAGACATCCATAATTTAACACAAACATATAGTTGTAGTATAAGAATATTTAATTGTAAAATGCATTAACTGAATGCATTAATAAAACTTACTGTCATCCATCTGGAGACTTGGTGGGCAGTAGAATTTTTTATGAGTAATTAGATTTGGCAATCCTCTAAAGAGACTGCGGCATAATTTACATTCAAAAATAGTGTCCACATCTTTCAATAAAATGTGCTTAAGTTGTTTAGTTCCTAGGGGAAAAAAAATTAAAAAAATTTAACACAAAAGGTAATTTTAATATATACTTTTAAACTGGGCAACCACAGTTGACAAACCAAAAGTGCAATTTTACTCTTTAAAAACAAAATACAGACACTGCCAATTTCTACTACAGTGTATTTAGCTAAGTTCTAAGCAAAAATCCCACTATCATCTGGATATTAATATAGCTAAAACTGGTACTCTTTTTCCTAATTCAATAGCCAGTCAATTCTTGGGATATGCAAACAGTGGTTCCAACACCTGTTTGAGCACTATAATGACCTGAGAATATAGATGTATGTGATCCACCCCTAGAGACTGATTCTATAGATTTGGAATAGGACAGAAGAATTAAACGTCCCCATCCCCTCCCATTCTCTGCCAAAGTTTTCAGCTGGTTCTCCCAACTCTCTTCTGCAATAAGAAGTGAACATGGAGTTTTGTAACACATTTTCCCCAATTCCTTAAAGAAGGTCAAAATTGTGTCACAGGACTGTCTGTGACTTTTCTTTTTAAACTCAGCTCAAATTACTTCAGGTTCTGGGCCAATATAAGGCTATGGCCATTTAGTGTAATAGTAGAGAATCTTTGTCTATAATTTTGAATTTTGCTTAGGCCTACTGACACCACTATAAATTTAGTCAAAACCTTTATCCTTCAAAAACTTACTCAAATTGCAATTAATTAAATATTGGCATAGTTACGAGTTTAAAGCCACTAGATAATAAACTCCAAAGAGGACAAGACCAAGTCTATATTATTTATAACTACAAAGTGTTTAGCTCTAATAATGCTCAATAAATATTCGTTGAAAAAATGCCAGTGATCTAGGGAATCTAAGCATTGTGACAAAAGATCAAAAGACAGAGAAAAAATAAATGGCAACAGCATCTGATCTTTAAATTAAAACATCCACCAGGAATAAAACACAAATGGAAGATCTTTTGGCGCTACTTCCTACAGGTCTTTGCCACAGGTAAACTGACAAAATTGATCTGCAATGCTTTACTAATTAAGGAGCCTTCAGCTTCCTCAAATACAAACAAATGATAACAATACTACATTAAGTTAAAGAAAAAAAAAGTGTCCTGAAAATATTTTTAAGACTATCTAGGTGCAAAGTGTTCTGTCATTCAACAAGCATTTGACTATTAAGCTCTGGGACTACTGAGTAAACACAATCTTAGTAGTAGAATTAATACTGGAGGGTCCATAAGAGTTAAATATTTCTGATTCGATCTTCTACGATCTGTTTACATTTAATTTTTGCATTAATCAGCATTTTGTATTTTATCACCATTCTGAATACAGGCCAGCCCTCAAAATTCTATTGCAAATGATTACCAGGTTTTCAGAACTTCACCAAGTCTTTAAAGATTCCAATTCTGATAGCTGTGTGACCTTAAAGAGTTGTATAATCTTTGCACTTCGGTTTATCCATCTTGTAAAATGAACAAACCAAACCTATGTTGGAGAATTATGAAAGAAAATATGAACCTAAGTCCCCCAAAATTAAATTATACATCTAGGTTTCCACTGGGAAAAAAATATGTATAATGAAATAATTTCCACCATTTCCCAAATCCAAGTCAATGCTTACCATATTACCACTAAATAAGAAAATAAAATTTAAAAAGATTCAGAAGATAGCTTGGGTATTACTCTTTATGTAAAAGTAAATTCACATAAATATGTACACACATGTTATTTGTGTAGTTCGTTTCATATTACAAAATATACTGGCAATAAACTGCTCATATATTTATAGTTCATGGTTAACCTCACAAGTGATTGACAAACTGTAAGAGGTAGACTCATGGTAAAAATACTTAGATAAACCTCTAACTTATCTACTTAAAGTTCTCAGGAAGTATAGCTGAGTATATTACCAGTAGGAAGAAAACAGGAAATTTCTGCACACTTTAATTCTAAATTAAAAGACATGCAAGACCTACACTAAAGATTCAATTCTGCCTTAAAGATAGTCAAAAAGAACTGAAGAGGGACACAAAAATAATCTGAACTAGGTTAACTTAAAAATTCATCTGAAGAATTAAGTAATAAGTACAACATGAAGTTATACATAAAAAACAAGTTACTTGTAAAAATATAAGACCACATCCCTAAATCAGATATATTACTTTGTCTTACCAGGTTCTCTCAATCAATCATAAAAAATATATATATACACATATATCAATTTCTTATATGTATTCCTAGTTATAGAGTTATAGAGTTAGAACTTCTATAGAGTTATAGAGTTAATTATATTCAGTAGAAAATGCCCAATAAGCATCCAGAAAAAACAAAAGTATTTGATTCTAACCCTGACTGATCAATTTTATTTATCAATCACAAATGCTACCCATCCCCATCCCCACCTACACACATACTCACATACAAGCACAGCTGTGTTGATCCAGGCACAACAAAACAAATGTCTTTCAGATCTATGGATTCACCACTCTCTATTTCTCTCTCTCTTTTCAGGCCTTCGCCTGTTTTCTTTATTTTTTTTTTTCCTCAATGTTTATAACATTCTCCCATTTCCCTAGTCTGGCTCACTTGTAGTAATCCTTCAGATCCCAGGTTAGATGTCACTTCTTCCAGGAAGCCTTCTCTGACCCAGCCTGTTTTTTTGGTTAAGAATTCTTCCCCTATATTCCCAGAGCACCCTATACATCTATACTATTTTATCCTACTATCTTGTAATTACTTTTCTGTGTCCCCATTGAACTGAAAGCTCTAAAAGGATAGAGAAGATATCTTTAAATGTTCACCTCTATATTCCCAGCCCTCAGGACCATGCCTGATTGACATTCTTTAAATGACATACTGAAGAGCTATCTCTATGTTTTAAGAAAATCTTCTCTATAAATAAAATTTTTTTCTAGTCTATGTAAAGTTGACTGGGAAGTCAAAAAAAAGTACCTAAAAGATCTTCTATTATACATTTTACAAATGAGAAAAATAAGGTGTCTTCTATTCCATAAATACAGACAATGAAAGTTTTTCCCTCAGTTACTTTCAGTGGCCATTTAAGGTTTTGTTGTTTTTCCTATCGGGACATAATAAATTTATTCTAATCAGCTACTCTTTTCTGATTGTTTTGCTCACTAATAATCAGACAGCTTCTGTCAATAGCTAAAACTTTCGGTCACCTGAGACAACAGACATGGTCATCTACACAGCAACATCAAGTTCTTCCACAGCTCTCAATCTTGAGAGAGAGCCATGCTGCCTTACTCCTAATTATTCCTTTTCCTCTCTCTTTCTTACCTTAAATATCACCACATACTGCTTAAATAGACCACCAATCAGTATTTATCAAAAAACCAGCCCTCCAAAGGGTAAGGTTTCTGATACCTAGAAATTAATTTGTGAATATTTCAGATTCGCACACATAATAGATGCTCAATAAAAATTAGTTAAACCTCAAGGGTTTATCTTGTGCTATTCCTTAATGCCAAATACACTGTATGCACTGAAAATGTTTTAAAGACTTTTTCAATAGGAATCACTATTCAATTTTATATTAGGTTGGATGGCTGTCACTCTACATGACATATTATTAATTCTAACTCTTTTGCACTAGACAAAGATAAGCTTTCAATTTTTTTTCTTAATAGACTGATATGCTGGTCAATGACAATTTTAGGTTGTGGCAGTAATCATTTTTAAATGGTATACTGTTTTCTTTATTGTTGACTCACACATGAGCTATTTTCTTTAGGATGACTGTTTAACTATATTATCATCTCAACATTGCAAGCAAATCTATAATTCCTGTCAAACCTCCTGAGTTCCACGACAAGTATGAAAGAAATTTCTAACTGATCATCCCTTCACATAAGTACTTAAAGCTAAAAGAAGCAAAACTTAAGAAAATTAAAATTATCTTAAAACCACCACCTGCAAGGATTGGTGAAAAAAATTACTTGGTTCATTATGGAACACTGCCACATAACTACGATAAATTTACAAGTAGAATAAAACTTTATTGTCTACTTGTTGAATCTTTTAGTTAAGTTTAGCAAATATTTATTGAACACCTGTTAAATACCAGGTACAATGTTATTCACTGGAGACACAGAAGTGAAGAGTATGACCTGTGCCCCTGAGAAATTCCCAGACTAATATAAATGGCTGCTCTCCTGGAAGTATAGCCCCAAATGGCATGCTTTGAAGATCAATTTAAGAACAACAAATCAAACAAACAAATCTATATTTTTCTTATTCGCCTGAAAAATATCTAGTCCAATTTTAAATTTCCTACAATTGCTATATAACAATCCCTCCAAAAATCTATCATATAGTAATATGGCACTCTCTTATGTATCTCTGATAAATCATAATTCCATCCTAGGCTTCTGCTTACAGAGTCAGAACTGAGGCGTCACCACCCAGTCACAGATTACACTAACTGATATTAATGTTTTTTTAAGCAGTAAAAACAAACAAGCAAAAACAAAAAACTTCTTCTAAGAAGTTAAATGACCAAACCTAAATTTAGGAAGATGATGATGACAGCAATCACCACACAAAGCTAATTCTCATTTTCACTACAATTTATTCCTCCCTAAAAATAAAAAGATGCTGTTCCTTGTACATAGTAGTAGTATATTCTACAGGTAGAATCTTTTTTCTATAATATTATATATTCTCTTTTTACAATATTATGTATTTTAAGAATTCAAGAAAAAGTTGTTACTTCATATTCAAGACCAATTTTAAATACCGGACAAAATGATTATTATCTCTCTCTTCCCATTTTTCTGTTTTTACCCTTATGGAAATCCACAGCTCCTCTGCTTCTACCAAAGTGTAAGTACCCCTTTTTTTGTTATTTAAATTTTTGTTTCAGTTTGGGGAGAAAGGTCAGAAAGGAAGGAAGCTAAAATAAAAGTGTAACTAGACAGGAGGGAAATTTGAAGACACCGAGTCACAGATGTGATCCTAGAAGGACTAACACAGCTAAGGCAAGGCTCCGGCATAGGGCAGGGCACAGAGTCAGGGATTCAGAACAATGGCATGTCTCAAGTCACCCAACCACCAGGGATTTCAGAGCACAAAATCTGTAGGTAGGTGCAAAATAGGCAGTTTTCTAAAAAAAACAAAACATCTACCTACCAACAAATGTCAAACAACAGTGGAATATACTATTAATGAAGCAAAGACACATAGCAGTAGGCAGTCAGCTACCATTTGTATTAGGAAGAAAATGAGGGATATGTACTCATATATATATGGAAGGTCTGTGGAAGAAGACACAAACCACATAGCAGTAAACTTATTTTTGTATTCCTCTTTGTACTTCTTTATTTTTTAAAAACTACACATATCACTTATTCCAAAAAAGAAAAATCTATTCAAATTAATTTACAGGTCAAGCAGACAGAAATAGAGATATCAGAGGTGAAAAAGTTTGTAATTTAAAGCCAAGAAAACAGACCAGAACAAAAGCTGAAGTGTGAGGCAAAGAGAATAGGTCAAAACCTGTCAAGCAGTCGGTACTACACACATGGGGCCGGTGGACCTAAAAAAATGAGTCAACTCCTTCCTCAGCTTTTTATGAACTTTCAGCTTGGGTAGGAATTAATACCAGGTCATAGACAGCCCAGTGTAGGCAGAAGGTAAGTCACTTAAACAGAGATGATACAGTAGCTGAAGACAACCTTCTAAGCTTGAAGATAAAGGTAGATATCCTAACACATTACTATTGTCCAACCTGACTTAGCCTCTGCAGGTTAACAAGAGCAAAAAAGCATGGACGTTAGAGTTCTACCTTCAAATATCTGTCAGATAACACAACCAGGATAGTTCTTTAAATGCAATGAGTGTGACCAAGCTATAATGGAAAGAGCCTAGCAGAGTTGAGATATTGAAGGGAGGCTTGGGACTAGAGTGGGACTGGGTAGAACTTAAGAGTCTCAGAGTGGGAAGGGATCGCAGTCCCTAAGTCATGCAGCCCCAAATCTCCATTCTGTCCTCCAAAGTTTTCAGTTAGCCCCAGCTTGAATACCTCAATGCTAAAGAGCCACCTTAGCAGACTCTAGATTATCCAGCTAACTCTGAAGGCAAATTTGCTGGGGACATTTAAAAAATATATACTACCCATATCACAGTCTCTTTTCTTTAGCTTAGATAATAAATGGCAAACGCAAAAGAATAGATATGATCACAGTACAATAAAGAAACAAATAATTTCATTTTTAAATATTCATCTTTCAAAGTTAAAAAAAAATACAGATGTTGAGTATAGAACCTTGTTGAAATGGTATTTTTTATAAGGCAAACATTTCTGAATGAACCAATTCTAACTTCTTAAACAACACTACAATAAACTGAAGCAGTAGAAAATAACCTTAATTACAAATTATAAATTTTTAAAAAGCAAGGAATATTACTAAATGTGAAAAAGTTATTACCTTCATGTCCGTGATGTGAGAAAGAAAAAGAAATTTTATCTCTACACTAAAAGTACCTAACAGAAACTCTTACTACAAGCAGAAACTAACCATTCTTCTACTATGCCATACATTTACATACAATCTCTAATAACTAAAATTTTAATTGTATTTACCATAGAAGAATCTGGCCTATCAGTTATTTCTGTTAACGAAAGGCAAGTATAAAAATTTAAAAACCACCACCATCCTAAAATAGGTTATGCCACCAACCAACATGAGCCTAGGCATATGGCGTACACTAAATACTTACTGAATTAAATAATACATAAAAGCAATGTCATGAGGACTATAGATGAAAAGTATAAGAAATGGATCTTAGTCAGAAAAAAACTATTTTAGATTCAGGAACAATTTATTTCTTAGAATCCTAAAATAAACCAAATAAATGCTATTTCCATTTACGTTCAAAAACAAGCACCTCAAAAATTTCTCGATACAAAACATGGTTGCATGTAAGTTATCTTTTCCTTTGAATCTCAGAAATTTTTCATTAATAAGAGTAAGCTTTAAAAGAGTAACAAAAGATATTCTAATCCTTTAAGTGCCCATCAGTTAGATGTCCATCAGTCATGTGTGTTTGCTTGTTCTTATTTGGCTCAATAGCCTGCAATGTCAGAGAAGCCAAATCTACAAGGAGTGGACAAGTGGATCATAAGAATCGCAGCACCGTAAGATCTTACTGATAACACAGGAATGCTAACAGTTCTCAATCATTCATATGTAGTAAGCAATACCTATTTCAAAGCACTGAATTGCAACTGTACAAATACACTTATTATATATCTAATTATAATAATCTAATGAAAAAAAACTAAACAAATGTATCTGAAGATATTGGGGCTGGAATAAGTCTTTTTTCTATCTTGTGCTCTATTAAAGATATTGAAACTCCAGAAACTTCAGGGTTAGGCAGAGAGTGAGACACAGAGATAATAAAGTAATTAATCCAGAACAAGTAACATCTCCAACTCTCTGCATAAATAATGTACTCTGCCAAAGTGTATAAAGAGCCAGTATAATTTACTACTGACTTTAAGTTTATAAAAAACATGCCAAAAAGTAACAAGAACTCTTTAAGAGGAAGAGGCACTTTATCAGCAAATATACCACATAATGTTTCTTCAAACCATACTAAGTTTATTTTTAAATATATAGTACTGAAAAAGAATCTCTAGATTAAGTCAATATTAATCACTTTTTAAAAATTATGACATTAAAAATATTCTATTAAAAAACCAATGTATACATTTTAATTCTCTTAAATTATTTCTAAAGATTTCTAGGTAGTTTTTAGCTACTATTTGAAGATTGAAAAATACATCCTAAAACATTCATACCTGATCGAAAGCACTCAATTATTTGTTGAATACCAGATTTGGATGTCTGTAGTGGTTGCTGTAACAAAGGAGCATCTCCGGGTTCCAGGATATAAACTACATGGAAGACAAATACCCACCCCAATCCCCACAAAAAAGGGTTATTTAAATCATTTACTCTTGAAGTAAAACAATGTTTTGCTACAATCATGTAAATAACAAGCACACCTGTATACATTTCACCATCATCTTTGTAAGGCAAAATGAATAATGGGGAAAAATAAAAAGTTTCCTCAATTCAAGGCTAAAATAAGGCTACTTAAGGCAAGATAATGTTTAAATGCAAAGATCTGCTGAATATGTATTATTCAGTACATATCTGTCATGTTTGCCTTTTTGTTTTCCTTTAAGAGGAACCACTATATTTAACCAAAATTCTAGGACGATGATGGCCTAGCCGCATCTCATAAACCATTCCAAAACCCTCTGGACAATCTAGTACAGCTTTCTGGGCAATTATGAAAGCAAAACTCAAAAACCACTGCCTAAGGAAAGAACTGGTCCAGTGCGCAATGACAGATGTACAAGAATGTTCACTACAGCACTGTAAATAACTGAAAAAATTTTCAAACAACTTAAAAGTCTCCCAAAAGGACTCAGACTAAATAAGCTATGAAATATCCATATAACAGAATCTCTGATAGCTGTCAGAAAGCATGAGCTAGAGCTACATGTGCTGACAACAAAGGATGTCAATAATGATTGTTAAGCAACAAAAACAGGTTATAGAATATGATTTCATTTATGTTAATATATATTAGTATATTTCAATAAATACAGAAAGAAATTTCATGTATATTTCTATACATGTATAAATGCTAATATAAACACAAAAAGTCTAATGGGATACCAACAAAACTTAAAAAATGTTCTGTCAGGGTGGGTTTACACAGGCAATTTGCACTCTCTGCCTCACAATTCATAAGTACTTCAGAGCCAGGGCCTTTAGAAGTGTGCATTTTTATAAGTAAAAATATTTGTTTTAAATAAAAATCTTTATTTTCATATACAGAAGTCTAGATCATCCCTGCTTTCCAAAATTCTCAGATTGGCAAAATAAGTATGCAATAAATTAAATTACAGGTAGCTGAAAAAGAAAACTGAGTTTCCCATTGGACATCAAATAAGGTAACTGAAAAGGAAAACTGAGTTTTCCATCGGATATCAAATAAAGATAGTCATGGAGAAAAACCAGCCACTTCAATTACCTCTTGTTTCAATACGTTATAATGTTCCACTCAACTATTACCATCTTAACCCAGGCCCACCTGCTCAGGGTGAGGAGATAAGGAGGGTTACCTTCAGTAATGTGTGCTGCTGCTGCTTCACAGCCCGGCTTGGAAAGCACTTAGCTTTCCAAAAGGGGACTAAAGCCTGCTGTGCTAAGTATACAGACTCAGCCTTACATTCTCTTTTGGACTCCAAGACCTGTGCTCAGTATACACATATGGGAGGACTATATCTCAGAACCAAGTCATTTCATTAAGCAAAATTTTCCTAATTTTAAGAGATATTTTAGGAATATTTTAAATAAATTCAGAACATACAAGCACAACTCATTTTGAAAACGTCTGACATTGACACTAACTGCAGTGATTAAGACTCCAGACTTGGACTGACTGCATTAAAATTCTTTTTCTGCCAACTAGGGAAAATTAAAATCTATGATCTTGTCTCATCTCCAAAATGGGGATAATAAAAGTACCTAAATCATAGGATTGTATAAGGATTAAATTAGCTAATGCAGGTAAACTGGTTAAAACAGAGCCTGGGATATAGTAAGTGCTCAATAAATGTTCTATCACCATCACCATCATAATCACCATCACTACCACAACCCCCACCGACATGCGCAAAAGCAACTGCTTTCCTGACACTAAAAACTGAAATCTTTTCAAAAACCGAAAGCAGAATTCAATCCCTTACAGATACAATAGCATAAGTTTGTAAATAGATTGATGCTATCATTTATTTGGATTAGATGGATCTCTTTCCACTACAAAAGAGAGGGTGGAAATTATACAATTGAAAAGAGTTAAAAGCTTCAAGGTCTGGCTCTGTACGTAACAAGAATTCTAGAAAGGGAGAATGAAAAAACGATAGTGAATAAAAGAGGGATAAAGGAAAAAATGAAAACTTCTCCCTAGAGCCTCCTTCCTTATTTAGGTCTACACTGCAGAAAACTTTCTATAATACACCAACTTCTACTACCACATTATAAAGCTATAGCTTTGTAATCTGATTATAAAGCTAGAGCTAAATTTTGTTACCTATCACCTTCAAAGACTGCTACCACCAGATACATAGATATCCTGAGATACCATTCAAAACAACCCCAGGGTTAGCTTAGTTATGCACAGACACATCCACTACATTTAAGAAGCTAGTCTTTCTTCATTTGAAAACATACTCTCAACACTAAAAAACTTTATGTATTAATATTTTACAAAATTTCTTCTTACATATCCTATCATCCCTCCCGATATCAGATTACATGACTAGTTAGGGGAAAACAAAACAAAACAATAGCATCTACCTCTAACCAAAAAACCCAAACCCTCAGAAGTTAATATCTTTCTTTATGTCCTTCCAAGAACACAATTCTTGAATAAAATACTTACTCTTGTAAGTCTCTCTCCTACCTTAAAACAAGATCTTTAAAAGATCTTCCTACTTACAATGTCTGGGATTTGCTTACAAATAATAAGGGGTTGGGAAGAAGGGAATTATGGGGAGGGGAGAATAGAGATGAAAACAAATTGTCTATGTATTGATAACTGATGGGAGTTGTGTCAAGTTTACATCAGGTTCCTCATGCCATTCTCCTTACTTCTGACTATTTGAAAACTTCTATAACAAAAAACATTCTTCAAACATAACTAAGATGTTTTACATACACTGACAGGTTTATAATACCACCTTTCACTACAAATTGACCATCCGAGCAAAGTCTCAAGAACACACTGCTCTCATCCAAGGAACTCACCTACTATTCAGAATCCAAACCAGGACAGACCTCTCAGGAGAGCCCATTAAAAGAATTTCCCAAACATCATGTCATATTCTTCTATTGTAATACATTCCTCTCTATACTGAAAACATCCTCCCACTCAGCACCGACCTTCCTTTGAAATGACAATTAACTACCCCATAAGTTAACAAACTTCTAGCTTTCCACTGAACAAAATGCTTACAAAGTGTTTAATTCTAGCTAAGAACACAAAGAAACACTACTTTTGATCTGACAGTATGAAAAATAAACTGCATGAAAAGTTTATGGTAAAAGAAAGTTGAAATTAAAATTATTGCTACTTATCTGATTTCTTGTTAATGGGGGTGAAAAAAGAATCAAAAAAAGTTCCAATACATATTAAAAAGTTCAACTCTAGAAAACATCTTTAAAAAGACATTAAAGTCTCTAGAAAACTTTAATTACCAGAATACACTGAGTAAGGTATGGTCACTTTATGTCTATTTGTTTATGTCTCTCTTCCCACTCAAAAGTTCTATGAGGGAATGACCTTCTGTTTTGTTCACCACTTATATCCCCATTGCCCTGGACAGTGCCTAGCACCTAACAGGTATACAACAATAATTTGTCAAAAAAATGAATGAATAAACTTCTTCCTAAATGAGTTCATTAATTAATTCAACCTAAATCACTTTAAGTGTTGTCAGAAAAAAATTGGAATAAAAGGTCAACAGAACATAAGTATAAAAGGCATACACAGCCTTCTACTTCAAAACTAGCAAACTCCAATCAACATTAGGTAAAACAAGTGATATATCTTCACTTGAATTACACAAAATATGCAGGGTAAAAGGGTGCTGAAAGTTAGACAAGTAAGGGGGCAGCTAAACAGAAAGTGGAATCCTGGGATTACCTGTTTTATTAGCAGATGTGAGTTATTACTAATTTTCAGCAAATCAGTGGGGCTAGGGTCATAGTACAAACCTTATTCTAATGTGTACCAAAGTTTTCTGAAAATGGAAGTTCTTCCCCTATACCATCTCCAGTTTTTCCCATTAAGCGAAAGAGCACTCTACTTAAAATAAACTCTACTGTGATAAAACTTAGTACAATAAGTATACACAGAGGTACACTACTACCTGCAGTTAAAAATACCCCAAACAAAAGCAAGCAAAAGTATAAAGATCTGATAACTTTTAGGTCAAAAATAATGATAAATATCTGCCTTTAACTGGAAGGAAAAAAACTAAATCTATATTTGGCTTAATGGCAGTATGTATTCAATGATTCTCTTTTAAGTTGCACCTGTTTGCAACAAAGCACATCAAATTTCTATGAAAAACTATCAATGGTTTACATACCACACTTATCAAAGTCTCTTCACATTCCTCATGAGACTTCAAAAAGCAATTTTTTCATTTCATAAATTCAACTTTAAAAAGCTCCATTGAATAAAATGTGCTTAAAATACATATTCCATCTAATCGAAAGTATCTGTTTGTTCTTGTTTTGTTGTTGTTGTTGTTTTGCCATACAGTACATTCTGTCCGAGAAATTTTTTTAAAAGTTGCACTGGGCAAAACCTGTTTCTCCCAACAAGTTGAGTTCAACAAACCGGTTTTTAGCCCAAACTAAACTTATTTTTAGGCTTTAAAATGCTATTCTCTGATAAAAATGAATAAGAGACTTGAGTTTTTCCAAGTTTAAATGAAACAACTTTCATGAAGGTAAATGGTAATATTCTACTACCTATTTTTTCCTTTTTCTTCGGCTTTAAACATTTTCAGAGCATAGGGGTACACTACTAACTGCAGGCTGCCTCGAAAGAGGGAAAAGGGATTGAGTGATTAATCTTGTGGAAAAGATTTAAGGTGACACTTGCAGTACTTTTTTTAAGTGATCAGGCAGGGCAGACCTCTTTATTTGTACAAGCATTTAACTTCATAACTGGTTTGATGCTAGGTAAATTATAGCCTGCTTACTTAGGAATGACTTCTTGGGCAGGAGGAAAAGAAAACTAAAAGGAAACAGAAGGCAGACTGGCTCTGATCGAGGGCAAAGTAACTGAAGACAGGGGTATACCTGGTTCACAGCATCCGTGATGATGGTGGTCAGTCTGACAGTATTTGTCCCTTAAAGGCATTTTCAGTGGGCGCGACCTACTTTCCATTCACTGTAAGAAGCTCTTCATTGCGGCTTGGCTGTTGAAAGAAGCACAAACCCGTCACGCACCCTGAACTTCCTGGGGGGGCTCTGGATCATTTTCCAGATATGTCCCCTTTACCCGCCCTCCGCTGTCCCTCCACCGGCCTGCACCTTTTTCTGGAACCGAAAAACAGTAAAACGCACGAAGGCTTCTCCAGCCCAGACACCCGCACAGGTTCATCGCCCTACCCGGAAACGCAGCCTTGGGCGCGCAGCGCAGGACGAGGGCCTGGGCCGGCTGCGCAGGCGACGGCCGCCTGGC